CTATTAATTTATTAAAAAACATTTAAACCAAGAAACAGGATAAAATAGCTGTCCTTACCCACTGTGCTCTGGATGGAGCTTTCTTCCATCTCCTGGAGAAGAAAATAGCAGTAAACTTTTCATAAGTTCCTGGGGAACAGAGGGGTGGGATCTGTGGAAGACTTGCTGTGTTGCCAGTGCTGGTTGAAAAAAAAACAAAACAAACCTCAGTGCTGGAGGAGTTGGCATTCAGGAGAGCACTTCCAATAACCCTGTCTCTAAATCGGTACAGGCTAGCAAGGAGAAATAGCTCATGTGAAATTGGCAGGGATCGGAGATGAGGGCTGGCACCAGTTTTAACAGGAGTTACTGAGTCTGATTAAAGAGCTTTGGCCCCAGCAGCATAACCTGAGCGCTTGACATAACCAGGGGCCTAATAATACCCGAGGCGCATTGTGAAAGTGTGACTTCACAGCGGCCACTGCCTTCTGCCCAGAGAGGGCCACTTCTCCTCCCTCCCTGCTGCAAGGGTGCAGCCCTCCTGCCTGGCTGCGTCCATGAGAGCTTGTTTCTCAGGGTTTCAACCAGCTGTCAGACATTCCATCTGAGGCAGGGTATTCACTACGCACCCCAAATCCTGATTAGGGCACTTTTCGGTTGTAGCAGGTCTTGAGTCTTTACTCTGGCTGGTTTGACTGCTGCCCCGTTGATGGCAATTGGGGGTCACTGGTGTTTTGGGGAGGTGAAGGCCGTGTGGGGAAGAATGGCTCCAAGGCTGAGTGCTGGAGTTGTGCTTCTTGCTCACCATCCAAGACCCTGCAAAGCTGGCCTCAGGGGCTATGTTTAAAGCATGTTAAAATCCACAGGGCAAGGTTATACCAAGACTTTATTGACTCTGGGAGACTGAAGACACAGTTGGGTCCCCCCTTCTTGGCTACTTTTCTACAAGTGTTCCAAAGTGGGATTCCTGCTTGGTGTGGTTAAAAGAGAAAGATGGGGACTGAGCACAAACACTTTTAAGAAGTCATGTCATATGTAGTTCTCCTGGGTTTGGAGGAAGCAATTAAGCCAATTAATTTATTGGTAAATTATCTTATGATGAAGTACAAAATAACTGCAATGAAACGCTGACATTCACATTAATACCAAATTAGTTACTGTATTATGACTGTTCTTACAATGAATGCCCAGTAATTTAATAGTAATGGGACATTTAAATAATTTAGCTGATAATTCTCTAGATCACTTACATATATAAATGAGCATGACAGCTTCTTTTCTCAACTTTGCTGCTGGATTACCTCCTACTACCACACCAGGAGGCAAAGCAGCCTGGCACGCCCCTCTGCCATGACCCAAAACTCACCTCTTGCTGGAAACTAAGTAAGAGACAGAGTGTGGCAAAGGGGATTTTTCCTTCCTCATCAGATTTTGGAATCGCCGTAGCTGGAAAGCAGAGTGCAACTGCCCTGCAACTGGGCTTAGCAAGGCCACAACTTCTGTGGTGAAAGATCTCTGGGTAGAGATGCTGTACCCAGGCCTGCTAGAGCAGTGTTCCTTCTGAGAGCACTATTAGCCTCGCGGTGGGATGGATGTTGGAGATCCAGCCAGGGCCACTTAATTGAATAGTTCAGCCATTGACACTGAAATTACTGTGTGCTAGCTCTGCTTGATGCAACAGCTTCATTTTCAAGTAGCTGCTCTTTCTGTAATAATAATTATAAATAGCACTACAATTGCTCCTCGTCCTTCCCTCCCCACTCCCCCAAGAGGATTCTCTAAAGGAGAGAGAGGATTTGGCAGCCACGCAGGGTGCAGTTTGTCTGCTTTATTGCCTCTTTGTCACCCCCTGCACCCACGGAGCTGTTCGTAGTTACCAGCTGTGGATTCCAGAACCTCATGGGATGGGGGGAAGATATAGTTTACACTGAAAGCAACCACCATTGAAATCTACACATAACAGACAAAATGCTCCAGTGCTTTTTTTTTTTTCTTTTTTTACTCATAAACTGATGAATATTGAAGGAAAAACTGTGGGCTTCTGTCCTGTCAAGCACACCTGGGACAGTGAGAGGTTCTCACATCCTTTCTGCCTGGGGTTGGTGTCATGCCCTGGAGATGGATGCTGCCATTCAGAGTGTTGCTTTGCTGTTGAGATTGCACTGAACCTGCTGAAATATTAGTTGATGGGCTTGCTTACGTCCAACCTAAATGTGGTCTTTTCATCACATCACATTCTGCTGTCAAACCTGTTGTGGAGGGGAGTATTCTACTGTCGGCAAGATTGAGGACAGAATTATCCAAATTAGTTTTTTTTGCAGATGAGAGCAGAGATGAGGGGTTTTAATGCAGACCCTGCCACCTCTTTGGAGAGTCTAGCTCTTCTCCCCAAGGATGAAGTTGAAGGGTACCTTTTTTAACTGAGATGTGCTGTCAGATTTGTGAAGCCAGCAGCCTGCTCCAAGCAAGTGCCAGCAAGGAAGAATAAAGGAAAGACAAAGTTTGCAGCTTCAAGTGATTAAATCCAGGGGCTGGCACCTCATACTTGTGGGGTCTCTTGTGTGGGTCATGACAGAGCTCCAGTAGCTGCGTTACTGTTTGGATGGCTGGGAGGAGGACTTGTGTACGCTAGAAGTGTTGCATGGAGGAGATCTAGTATTTCTTCTCCTGTCATTTGGATCTCTTTGGCAGGGCTGCAGATGGAGCCTAAAGGTTGGAAGGATGAAATCCAGGGAAGCCCTGTACTGGACAGCAAAACGTAGTCAAAGGAGACAACTGAAAGGGAGGGCTCTGTCCTATATGCTGTGATAGCACGGCAATCTATTCTTCCCTCGAGGAGAAAATTCACTTTATTAACCAGAGCTATCCAGTTCTTTCTGCTCTATTCAGTGATGTGATCACTTGAATTGTTTTCTGTGCAGTCATTTTCCTGCAGGTTTCTCCCTGGGCTCTATGTTCAGTCTGTAGTTTCTAGGATCATCTTTTCCCGTTGGATTTCTTCTTAGAAGCAAGAGAGGCTCAATACCATCCGCTTCCCAGAAGGTTTTGTGAGAGCAGCTTCTCAAGCAGGCTTTTGGGTCCTTCTGCAGGATTTCTGTCCTAAACCATGACCATCCAGGTAGAAGTGCATTTTCTGCAAGTTACCTGCCACCGTATTTCTGATCAAATAACTCTGTGCTAGTAGGGGAAGCAGGGGGAGTGAGAGGTTGGGATAGTACAAATATGCAGAAATATTTAAAATTTGATTTTTCTTTCCGTTTTACATAGACACATATCAGTAAGATCTTAATAATAAGCAGCGAGGAGTGCTTGAAGGGAGCTGTAACTGGCAGAGTATGTGTGATTTTTGTTTCAAGACAAACACTGGTTTGCAGTTGGGCTCCATGATCTTGAAGGTCATGTTCACCAAAATAATTCATGTCCTATCCTCAGCCTGCCCTCTCCCAAAGGTGAGTGGGCTTGATCTCTGCTGGAGGAAACCCGAGCAGCTTCCTATAGCACCACAACCCTCCCTGTGCCTCCCAGCCCATCTGTGGTGAAGGTTTAGAGAGGTTCTTCAACTTCCTGGGGATGGTGTGCCTCATGTTTCCAGCCAAATAAGTATTATGAGTTACTGACTGTCAAGCCAACACAGGTATGCTGCAGTCAGAGGTGAAAGCAGGTATTTGTGGCTCTTGTTTGCATGAGATCCTGGGGAGTGAGATCCTGTGCTTGGCATAAAGGTGGTGCTGGCTCTAGTAGCATCCTGGAGGATGTCCCGTTCTAACCACTGATTATAAATACTTTGCCCCCAAAGTTGCTGATTTGTGAGCAAACAAGATTGCCCATCAACAGAAATGCTATTGAGTGCTACTCGTGATATTTCGTTATTAGGCCTAATGGACTCTTTGAGTAGGAGACACTACATCAAAGCACAAGAGCAGGAAACTTCTGTCTCCAAGTGTCTCGGGTCCTTCTGTGCAGAAGACATTCCTGCCACAGATCTTCATGTTTTGCTGCTCAAGCACATAGAAAAAGCTGCTGCGATGCCACAGGCTTTGGGTGTGGGGTCTGAATGTGACGGGACAGACTTGTACTAGTGGGCGACTTAAAACAGAGTTGGCAGGAGTGGATTTGGAAGATGAAGCAGATCTGGGTGGATTTGGTTTAACACAGCATGAAAAACAACCTTTTAGAAAGCTCAGCAGGCCTGTTGCAGATTGCCATTACAGCTGCTGTTCTGCTACATGTGTGTTTTTTAAGGTGCAGATATATTGCTATTTGTGCAAAACAAGGTAATGGGGCATTGTTTTCTACTGCAAAATAGATTGTCAGGACCTCCACCAAAACGAGCGCCACCTGACTGCTTGGCTTTTGCTTTTGTTCTCCTTATTTTAATACTTTCTGTTAACAATAGCATACAGGAAATTGTCCATGATAAGGCACTAAAAGGTGAAACAGTGCTGGTCCTCATGCGTCTATGTAAATATTCAGCTTGTGGTAGACTGCGTTAAGCGTCTTACAATCCATCCCAATTAAAAAGCAGTCTTTATAGCTGTAATAGTTTTATTGAGAACTGTAACACATTAGACCTACAGATATATAAAGCAGTTAGTTTTATAAAGCATATAGGATATTAAAGTAATGAAAGACATTAATGTGACATCAATTTTTAAGGAGAGTTACTTGCTGAAATAAATGAGTATAGCCTAAATGTTGATGGCATGTTACAGTCCTGAGTAATGAACCCTTCCGCTCCCTAAAATCTCTTAGAATAAATAAGGCTTGAGCAAGTCAGTGGTCATTAACTCTTTATCCTCTGAGAGCTACATGTCACATTGATGTCTCATCCGATTTTTTTTTTTCTATTTAACTTCTAAAAAAATTCATTCAGAAAAGAATTCCCATTCCTGGAATAGCTATAAGTAGGCATATAATGTCTTTTCGGTGGAGCTGTGACTGATATTGCCAAATGCAAAATTCTTCAGGAAGTTAGTTCTTTCCTTTTTCTTTACTTGCTTTTCCTTTTCCTTCTTTCTTACTGCCTGCCAGTGCTCTGTTTTTTGCTTTACCCAGTGGTGTCTTGTTATACCAAGCCTAGAGAACAAAAAAGCACGAGTATGTTTCAATAAAACTTTTTTTTTTTTTTAAAAAGAGAACACTTAAGAAACTTTTTACTAGTACAGTGGAGCATTCCTTAAAAAAAAAAACACCACCCAAACCAACAAACCCTCTTAAAATCTTGGCTGGCTTATGGAGAAGCAGAAATGAAATCTTTGGATCTCTTGAGAACATTATTATAACTAGGAGTATAGCAATTGCTTGCTTGAACGGTGTCTCGTTAACAGGAATACTTAGCTGGGCCATTTGTGTTGCTATAGTTATGGAAATGTTAGAACTTCTAATATCAACCCTATTTCTGAGGCATATAGCTCTTGTCAAAACTCCCTCTGGTCTGAAACTTGGCAATAGACAAAGCATGTACTTCTCATGGCTCTGCAAATCCATCCAGACAGGTTTTTATTTCGATGAGAGAGCTTAAGAAGCAAAACAAACCCTGAACACTAAAAACCTGTTTATTGCTTTCAGATGTCTGTTCGCAGTCCTGTGACTTGTAAATGATTTTGGTGTAGCTGCTCTGCAAACTTGCCAAGCTTCTGGACTGTAATGTCAACAAGGCAGTTCTAGGCCATGTGAAAATAATGTAAAGTGAAGGAGAAGGCAATGTTTTAATGCTAGAAGTGCGTAGGAATTAGTCTTTTCCCACACAAGTGTACAGGAACCTTTATTGATAAGGTTCTGCCAACACCACAGATTGAAATGCCACCAGGTGTTGATATGATCAATAAAATGCCTTTTTTCCTGACCATATTCATCCATGTGCTTTCCCAGGAGTGAGTGTCTTTCCTCTAACCACAGACCACTGCCCCAGTGGTGTCTTTCTGCCTTTTGCTCAGGCCCCTGTTGTCTTCAACCTTCCCACAAGTGTGGCATCCTGTAAAATCTACCTTTTCTGTGTGATCCACCTGAAATGCTGCCTCCAGCTTGAGGCTGGTAAAGCTACCCCTAGGAATTTGCCCTGTCCAGTTTCCCAGTATGTGTTGCAGGCAGCAGCAAGAGAGGTAGTTGTGAAAAGAGATATCTGAAGTGTACAGGGAAGAAAAGACCCCTTGGTGTTCCTCTCCCAGCTCCAGATGGTCCTTCTTGGTGTCATGCTCCTTAAAGGCTTCCTCTGGGTCCCAGAAAGGGGCTGATGACAGGCACCCTGTTTGGATCTCTTGTCTTGCAGATTAAATGCTGTCAGCAGGTGAGTGAAGTCTGACAGCTGTCAAATGTCCAGCTGCCTGCTGGGCAGCCCTAATGCTGTGATCTCTGCTCTAATTGCCTCAATTAGCTGAGCACCCATCCTCCAAGAACCTGGACTCCACTGATGAAAACATCATGCAGGCTGTTGTGCATCCACATCTAGATGGTGCTGTGGGAGCTGTTTGGGAAGAACTCCAGCCTCTCAGTGCAGTGGCCTTGGCAATTGAATTTTGATGTACTAAAGGTGGGCTCAGGCCAAGCTACTCCTGCATCAAGGAGAGCAGACACAACCAGGATAGGGCAGGGCAGGGAGGGTGTTTGGAGATGGCTCTTCCTAGTCCTTCATGTGGGTAGAATAAGAAAAAGTGGTAACTGTGACTCTTGGCTCAGGTGGGATCCAACTTCCCCAGCAGCAGCTAGTGATCACGCAGTGTCTCCAGCCTTCATGCATGACAGGCTACAAGGTTATAGAAGTTCTGCTTTCCCCCGAGGTTTGTTGTTCTGGGTATGACGTTCTTTAGACTTTAACAGGGAGGTGGAAAGAATAACAAAACCCTGCAAACAGCTTGCTGGGAGCTTGGTAGGGTGGAAGGTGCTGTTTGGTGGGTGCACGCTGGGGAGGTCAACTCGCTGCCCACTCAGAGTTGCTGATAAAGGACGCTGCTGCATGTGGCAGGAGGGGGCGAGACCCTTGTTATCTCTTCTCCTTTGTTA